GCAGACTATCGGGCATTATCATCTTGGCGACTTTGTGAACCGCTTTGTCCGAGGCTCCCTGGTGATGCAGCCTAAGGAAGGCGAGGTAGGGAGGGAGGATGGGAGGGGGGACGGGAAGGAGGGAGTGGTTGAGAACGGGCGAGTCATTTTTAAGCACGTTGTGGACCGGAAAAGGGGGGATATTCACACGACGATAAGCAGGGGGGGAAATTGGTTCTTGGATGTGTGTGAAAATCACTGCTCATCGTCCCTTCCTCGGTTCACCCTGTCCTACAGAGGGAGGGTGGGAAGGAGGGCGGGAAGGAGGGCGGGAAGGAGGGCGGGAAGGACGAGGAGGAGGCCATGGCCGGGACCGAAAATCCTCTGGGAGGAGAAAAGGGAGAAGAAAAGGACGAGAAAGTGGGGGATAAGGAGAAAGAGGGCCGCCGCAGCGGCGGGGAAGTAGCACGTGGGCATGTGCAGGACCTGGGGCTGATGTTCGGGACGCAACAGGGGATGATTGGATCCATCCTACCCATTTCCGAGGAGGATTACCGCTTCTTCGTGGCCCTGACCAAGTGTTTGAACAAGGTAGGGGCCGAGGGAGGGCGGAGAGGAGGGGCTGATGGAGGAAGCCTCAGGTCCTTTTTGCGTACTCGGTGTTGGGAATGCGGTGAAAACCTCCGAAGGCCAGATCTCTGTTTCTTTCGCGTGGCCTCTTCGGCTCCCTGCCTCTCTCCCTCCCTCTCTCCCTCCCTCCCTCGCATTCTCCCTCCTTCCTTCTCACCTTCTCCCCTCCTTTCCTTCCTCCTCCCCATCGCTCCGTGCCTGTCAGGTGGTGAAAGGCGTGGGTGGACTTTCGCATGAAGAATATCGCCGATTTTTAACGGACAAGGCCATTTCAGATACGCAAGGATTCGTCGATGGGGACTTGATCGAGTCGTTCCTGGAGCTCCCGACGCAGCGGATGGAGGAGGTGGTGGAGCTGATGCGGGTTGAGGGAGTGGGCGGAGAGAGCAAGACTGATGCTGCCCTTTGCGACCAGGCGGGAGGGGGGAAGGGAGAGGGGAAGATGGAAGTGGTGGGGTTGCAAGAGCATGCCGGAAAGGAGGAGGAAAAGAAAGATGGGGTGCTCTCATTGGATGAGGTGTATCGACGCGTGGAGGACATGACGCGATTGCATTGAAAGGGGTGGTCTGAGACTAGGAGGGCTGGTCGATCCCTTCAAAAATCTCGGGGGGGAAAAAAATATAGAGGCGTTGAGGCGGGTTGAATAAGTCATGTAGAATGCGGCGTTTTCCACGATATATGCGAAGGAACCCATGTCAAAAGATTGCCATATTTTTAGTTTTATGCTATTTTGTTCGTCATCTCTGATGTTTGGGCACAAGTCCTCAGCAGAACACCCTTTTGTTATTGTATGTCCAATCTATTTCGACACAATTCCCTTTCTTGGGACTTGTTTCCTTGAAAGGACCCTCTCAATTCAAAGCGTACTATTTGGCATGATAATCGGAAGACATTTCACCCTTTTCTTGAGGTGTGTGGACTCATCAAGAGAAATTGCGCGGAGATCTTCGGCCGCTGAAGCGATGGCGGCTATTCAAGTTGGGTGGTATTTGATGCATTTACATGTCTCTTACAATGATTTTACTGTCAGTACCACCATTTTTGGGCTTTTGTCGTTTGCTTACCCATCAAGCTGCATGCAAGCAGGAGCCGTGGGCATATCACACCATCAATCCATGATGTTCCCTGTTATGTGCCAAATTTAAAATTTCGAAAAAAAAAATCATCAAGGTGTTGTCAGCAGGAGAGTTCTGTCTCATTACCCCGCCCTTTTTTCAGCTAGTCAAGTCGATCATGTGCAATTTATAGTATTTCAAAACAGAAAGGAGATGGATTTTGTCGTCCGATGACATGAATCGTCAATGGCACCGCATACATCTATATTTCAAAGGTTCAAGGACTGACACCACTCGGTAGCAGAAAGAAGCGAGACGAAGAGGCTAGTTGGTGTCAATAGCAACGAAGAATTTTGGGATCGAATTCTCACACTTCGAACCCTATAAATAAATTTACTTATTATAGGACAAGCAACACACATGCCAAGCCTTTTTCTGAAATTCTGTCTCTGGTTTATTTTTTGGATCGACGTGTTGCCGCAGCAAGTTCAGGGTTACCATCCTCCTTACCGCCCATTTTGCGCCCGAGTCTCAGGAGATCAAAAACAGCCATTCTGTTGTCGGGAGCAATGTACCCTTCGAAAAGCATCGCAGTCGATACCCTCTTCTGACTTTACTCGCAGAAGTATCCGCACAAGCCCTACATACGACACTGTGGCCCATACCAATCCCTCGATTCGCCCTTCTCCTATCTCTCCTCCAAAGGCTCAAGGCATGATCTCATCAAACAAGCATACCCTGAAGTCACACCACCCTTGGCACCCGTACATTGAAGTCTTGCGTCCTCAAAACGTTCTGCCATCTGCTTTCCTAGTCCTGATAGGAGCTTGGATCACGACGCGGGATTTGCGACTGGTGCTGAGCCCCCTGGTGGCACAAATGGGTAAGTAACAGAATATACTGATCGAATCATGAGATGGTGTGTAGCTTTGTTAGATATGATTTCGGACAACGCGTTCTTCGAAGGGAAAAATGCTTTCGTGTACGCTAGGTGCGGCCGACTTGTAGCAACTTCCTTGTGCTTAAAAATGCAAGATTGACAAAAAATTGTCTTCAAAGAATGCGTCAAGTAATGCATGTGTCGAAGGGAAAACCCCTGAATGGATAAATACATGAGCAAGCTATGACCACGAGTTATCAATGTCGGCGAGTGAGTGATTGTTCTACTTTTTAAAAATGCCTCAGATGATTCGAACGACAATGTGGATGTCTGTGAAGAGATGGCTTGAGGCTAATAAAACAGCCATACAAATCCACCCATTTTTCATCTCCCCACAATTCCTTTTTCCTACCCACAGCCATCACCTCTGCCCTCGTGGCTGTCGGCTCCTGTGTCCTCAACGACTACTTCGACCGGGGAGTCGACCGTATCAACCATCCAGAGCGCACCCTCGTTCAGGGCCAAATTCGACCCATTTATGCCCTTCTTCTCGCTCTATCCTGCCTGACAACAGCCCTTCTTTTGGGTAACATTGACCTGTCCTGCACGATCCACCGCGCATTTGCTTCCGTACCAGTGGCGGGGCAACCCTCAACGTCATACCTCTCTCCTCCTCCCATGCGGTGGGCCACTGCAAGGACCCTAACGCCACACTCGTACACTGAAAGTACCAGGCGATTGCTCCGTCGCATTGTTCAAACTGCCGTGGCAGCCGTGGTCCTCTACACTCCTGTTTTCAAACCGTTTCCCTTCCTTAAAAACGGCGTTGTCGCGCTTGTAATCGCCGCTTCAGTTGCTTTAGGCGGGCTCGCGGCGGCTACGACCGCAACCTTGTCCTCCCTCCCGTCCTCCCTCCCTCCTTCCCTTCTCGCAGCGGTCATCACCGTGTCTTGCCACATTTTCCACCGGGAGATTCTAATGGACATCGACGACATCGCAGGGGACCACGCCGGGGGCATCCTGACCTTACCCCGCCTCCTCGGGAAGCCCCTTTCTCTCTCTCTGGGCGGGGTTTTGGTGGCCGTGAGCACGTGGGTGAGTGCCCGCCTGGTCGTCATTCAACACGCTTTGACATTTTCTTCGCTTTTCTCCCTTTTCAATGGGCCTGGCTTGCTGGCTTTCAGGGCCGCCTGGGGCGCGGCCGGCCCACACGGCACGGCGGGAGGGGCGCTGGGTGGCTGGGTGGCCCTGGGAAGTATCTGCGTGGCAGGGGTGGTTGTATGCTTGTACGACTGGCGGGTCGTGTGGAGGGGTGGATTTCGGGGAAGAGATGTGGAGCGAGGAGTGAAATGGGCACCCTTGGCGATGCTGACAGTGCTCCTTGTGCTGGGCGCGGTGTAGGCAAGGGGTTAGGAAGGGAAGGAGAGAGGGAGGAAGCTACCAGCACTGATGGACATATTGCGGTATGTTGTTGTTAAACTATGGTGTACATGCTCCGGGGGATGAGGTACGTGTAAGAATGTCAATCTATTGGTACGCCGTGACCGGAGCTATTCACGCTGGCCTAGATTGGTTTGCCAGACGAGGGGGATGTCGATTATCCGCCAGCAGAGCTTGGCATGTAAGATAGCATTAATGTAAGCATATGTACATTCAAAGATGTGGGGGCACACACGTGCTCGCGCTTAGTTTAAGCTGCGCTGGAATGCGGTACATTTCTAGCATGTAAGCCCTTTGACTCAAGGGACGGTTGGCAACGCCAAGCGCTTCTGGGTCCATAGCCCCCTTATACATGCCTGAGTATCAAAATAGCACAATAATGACCTCAACGACCGTGACCAAAGAAAAGGAACACGAGCATCGTACTTGGGGATGACGATAATGCACAATCTCCTTCTTCCATCACCCTGCGTCTCGGTCCTTCCTCTTGTCCCTCGGCGGGCCCTACCAGGGTTCGCAGAGACTTCCCCCCGGCCGCTGTACGTTTCGACAGCTCCTTGCTCTCCACGTCTTTCCCAACGCACATTATTGACACCTTATCATTCCATCCCCTCAAGAAAGAGAGAGACATAATTATGAACTACACACCCGCGATGTCACACGACACATGGGGCGCTATGGCGGCTTTTGCGGTTTCTATACTGCAGGGGTCATTCTTCTCCTTTTCGACCGATGTCATCGAATCCATATGGCTGGTGTTCACATTTTCTAAATCAAAGCTTCCTGTTCATTTTCCTCCGTTTTCGCCCCTCCAAGTCTTGAGTCAAAAACCTTCTTCCAAGAAAAAGCTATTCGTACATCCCTGTTCACCCCCCCCAACCAACTATCACGCTGCGGCGGCCGTTACCTTGTAGGACGCGACTGGCACGCTTCCTGTGGGTAAAGCCGTGACTTCTCCGCGTTGCAGCCGCTCCTTGTACACGTGCCTCCCTTTGGCTAGGGCCCCCCAGTCGATCTCTTGCCCTTCCTCCACTTGCTTGTACGACTGTGCCCCACTGTCCACCCGATACGGGAGCAGGCGGATGGCCAGGTCCTGAGGGAGGGAAGGAGGGAGGGAGGGAGGAGAAGAAGGAAAAAGCAAAATGCAAATGAGTTGCAAGAAGTCTCATCAACGTTGAAAAGACTCACTTCCGCCCGAGAGAGGGGAAAACGGCAGGGCAGGTGGAAGAAAAGGAGGGGAAAAGAGGGAACGCCGGACAAAGAGGAGAGATCATTGGGGACCGCCCAGAGACGGAGGGAGGCGCCCGGAGGTAAGGAAACCCTACACCTTCTTCCTTGCCCACGACTGACGCATCTCTTTCGACCCTTCTCCTGCCCCCGCCCCCCCTC